CCATGGGAGTTCAGGCGCTATAATTGTGACTTCCACCACAAGTCTGAGGTAAATAAATTGCACTTGCTACCAAATTTATTTTCTTTGAAATGCACACTGTGCTTATTTTTTTTAGGTTAGGCTTAGAGGCTGAAATTAATTTGTGTTTGTCTCTATTGAGAAGAGAAATATTCTCTTCTGATAGACTTTTCATTGTTCTGAAGACTGCTGCTTTTGGCTTTTAGATGAGAATGAGATGTACGAAAGCTGATCACTGTTGATTTGTGGCTGGGGTTGAGGTCCTTTCGTTCAGTTGGTTTTTACCTCCGGAAGGACTGTCAGTTCTTAACCCTCGGCTGAGGCGAGAGCCGCGTGTTCCTGTTGTTCTTGGCATGCACGTTATTTGTGCTGTTTTGGCTCCAAGTTTTTTTTTAAGAGTTGAAATTTTTTGAGAACACATTTACATTGACTTAAAACAGACACTGGTGAAACAAAATGCTCAAACTCTTTAATAATCGGTATGCTAGAATACCTGATTTTATCGAAAGGGATATCTATCTTTTTTTTTTTGCTTTGTTTTTGACTGTTTTTGAATATTTCACTATGACATTTTTAGGACTCTACACTTTCCTTGTGTTTATTCTACCTGTTGACTGATATCAGAGTGCATTTCTCAGTCTCTCAGTATGACATTTCTCACGGTTCATCCACACCTTTGATGTGACTCACCCCATTCCATATCCTCTTATGAGGAAGGCACAAACATTGAGACCTTTAGCCAAAGACTAGAGAGAGCTGAAAGAGGTGGCATATGTTTTAAAATCAGCCAGTCAGATGACTTCCTGCTGGAGGCTTTCAGATCAGGACCCCTGCTCTACTGAAATAGATCAGCGCTCCCGCTCGTCTCCGAGACAGATGTGTCATCAATAGTGCCTTAACAAAAGCTCAATGGAAGACTGACTCAGAGCGATTTCATGGAACAAGTGGTACTCTGATGAGCACTGAACCTGCCTCTCCATCTCATTTCAGACCCATGCGAGTGACGTTGGTTTGGACGTCACATCCAGTGATATTGTCCTCTCCACTTCATCATCATTCATCCTTGTAATCTAATGTCAGAGATTTGCATCCGGTCTATTAAATGGTGGAGTCCTGCTTTGCCCTTCTTTGTTTTGTGGTATTGTAGAGGTCCGTTATTTAGAGAATGATTTTGGTGGTGTATAAATAGCGCATTTTTGTGCGAAAGTTTCCTGAATTCAGTTGATTGTTTATTTTCACATTTAATTACTTGGCAGACATATTACCAATAAACAATTTAGAGCACCTATTTGGAACTTAGTGTATATACTGTGATGGGATGAAAACAGCTAAAGCGTTATTGACTAAATTGGTATATTTTTGAAGAGAATGTGAGTGGTCCTTGCCTATAAAAGTTTTTGCCAGGGTGCTTTTATAGCCAGTCCACACATGTAGCAACTTCCAACAAAACTAATATCATTGATTATTTTAATTTTTAATGAGAGCTGGCAACTTCCGGCATCACGAGCGACCATGTGTGGGCGTGTCCAGCAAATCTGAGAAAGATTTGAGTAAAGAGCGAATAATTTGTCATTTGTCTGTATCTATAAACATGGATATAATAAGAGATGCATAAAACTAATGGTTGGCAGTCTTAGTGAATTTAATTTGTACACTGATTTTGTCTGGTTAATGATATGATTAGGGCTGAAACGATTCCTCGAGTAACTCGAATACAAAAAATCGAGGAAAATTATTTGCCTCGAGGCTTTGTTTAGTCCATTTACTGTAACTACACACGGAACACTGTGTTTCCCCACGGACCATTATTACTGACGCACAACCCGATAAACGCTGACCGTAAATCAATATGGTGGCTAGTTATGATGTCCCTAAGTTAGCTATGTTTTGTGAAAGACTAAGTGCCATTCATGTTGATTGTCTCGTTCTTTCTCTGTGACACACAGACACACTCCCCATACAGTTATGCATAAAAATACCACAGAAAGAAACTTAGTCAATATCACACGAAGAGTGCCAGTTTTCACCTCTAAAAATCAGCATCATTACAAATGTGATATTGATTTTATGCAACAGTTCAATAAACAAGAAGTTAATATTAAGATACTTACGTTTTAGACACCATTGCCTACAGTGCTCTATTTCGCCAACAAAAAAATAATTCCAAACACAGCCACAGCGCTGTTTTGCGTCTCTGAGCAACATGAGGGTGTTTCGTTCCTGAATGAATCAACCGTTTAAAGGGGTCATATGATGCGATTTCAATTTTTCCTTTCTCTTTGGAGTGTTACAAGCTCTTGGTGCATGAAGATCTGTAAAGTTGCAAAGACTAAAGTCTCAAATCCAAAGAGATATTCTTTATAAAAGTTAAGAGTCAACCATGCCTACCTAAAACGGCTCGT